CCCCCCCCCCCCAACAACAATGTAAGGAAAATCATCACGCTTGGAAAGCAAAAAGCCTCAAACGTGATTCACCAAGACCTGGGATTAGACTATTTACACCAAGCAGTTTCCACATTACGATATGGTCGCAGTCGAAGCGGGTACTGCAGAAGCAATTTACTCCTCGGTAAAGAACACCTTCAATGAGCTTCTTATCCCATTGGAGAATAGCATTGGTTATTCATCGAATACTACCAACAAAGAAATTAATACCAGTGCGCAAAAGGAACAAAAGCTCATTTGAAGCCTTAGTAAGATTTTGAAGCAATATGGATTGGTCCGTACTTCACTCTTTACCTGCCATCGAAGAACAGTTAAATTATTTTAATGACTCACTTACGATTGTCCTCAAAAATTGTTCACAAATTTGTCTACTACAGCATTGAAGTTTAGTTGACAGGCGAAGGCTGGATTAACATAAAGCATTCCTAATGACAATAGGCGCAGCTGTCCCATCATGAACCGAAGGTCACTTTTAAGGATGGTTAATCCACTGAAAGAACGCTCTGCCCCAGCGACTGATACAGGTAATGTACAAAAGATTCGGAGTGTGACACAGACATTTGGAAAGAGATCTCCAAGTGTTCTTCTGTCAGACAGTTAAGATGATCCAGAGGAGGTACAATGGCTTTGCCGAGGTTGTCCATGTAATTGTTTGGCTTTGCAGAGGTTTTCCATTTCCAGCTTTCAAGTGCAAAATCTCAGTCACAAGATCCCCAGAGACATCAATGATATATTCCTCAGCAAATAAGTTTGCATCTGTTTGCATGTTTATCGATCGTTTCTTCGTTCATTGAGAGGTACTTCCATAGAAAGGCGAATTTTGCTTCCAAACCTTGAACTACATCATAATGGTTTCTCATTTCTGTCAACAAACTCTCAATAATAATATCAAAAACGTGTGATGTAAAATCAAAATCGTATGAATCATTGTCGACATTTGTTTCATCGTCTTCTGTATCCTCACTTTCATCAGATACATCCGATTTGTCGAAGAACCTCTTCCGTCTCTTCTTTCGTTTCTCCTATTGGACATGCCACAGCTCAATTTGCAAACCTGTCACACAGCTTTGCATTCTGCTAGAATCGCAGGCCATTTTACTCGACACTTAGAAAAAAATCGATGCCGGGTTGTAGCATAGTATAGGTGTTATGTTTAGACGGGATATTAACTATATAATTAACTCATATAACCAAAGAACATCAATATATATTCAGTTAGTGTTTGGACTACACGAATAGACCTGTAGTATTATCATATAGAAATAAACAAATAAACAAACAGAGATATTATATTGGCAACGAGCATGGCCGATGACGAACAAGCTGCGCAACCAGTAACTATTAACACACCGTCAGTTTCTATACAACCTCTACCTGAATTTAATCCTGATTCAGAAGTCGGAGCGACTTTAGCCACTCGTTGGACGAATTAGCTCGATGATTTTGAAATGTTTTATACTTGCTAGTGGCATCACAGATGAGAAACGCAAACGGTGCCTTGCTTCTCTATCAAGCAGGACAATGCGTCAGAGAAATTTTTTGACAATTACCGAAAACAGGAACAGCAGCGGACTACAGTATTTTGAACCTCAAAAAAATTGTTATAAAGTATACCGGTTCAGACAAGCTACTCAAGAAGCACACAAAACGTTTCAGATCAGTTTCATACGCGTTTACGTATGAGCGCCCAAATGTGTTATTTTGCAGATGCAGATTTCGAGATTGAGCAACAAATTGTTATGGCTGGCTCATCAACTAGAATTCGAAAGAAAGCTCTACGTGATCCTACGTAAGATCTGAAAGCTATTCTCATTGATGGTAGACGTGATGAGCAACTTATATCCTCACACGAATAGTTGTCCGGCGAAAGGTAAACAATGCAACAGATGCAGAAAACAGAACCACTTTGCAAAGGTCTGTCGCAGTAAACCTGAACAGAAAGAGCACCCCCCTGCAAGTCAAGGAAAACGTTATGAACATAAATGTTAATAACCCGTAAAACTTTTAAGAAACATTGAACATGAGAAATACGATACAGAGAGCTCTGATAGTGACGAGAACTATCTGTATGCTGTGATGAATACCACAACACCAAAAGTGAATGTAAATGTATACCAACAGTCCTTTAAAGCTACTGTTGACACAGGCGTGTCAATTAACGTCATTTATCAAAATACATATGCTAAACTGAAAGAAGTAGAACTTCAACGGACAAGCATTAAAGCATTTGCATATAACTCTGCAAAACCCATGAAATTCGTAGGGAGATTCAAAATGAAACTCGGAAACGTATCGCAGTTGCGACATTCTATGTTGCTAAGAAAATCTGATCTCGTTGCCAACGGCTCAAGAATTGGGTCTAATCAGTTTACATCTCCCTGACAATCAACCACTGCAGACAAGTTTAAAACAACAGAAATTAACAGAAGAATATGTGAACTTCTTACTCAGAACAGCATCCCAAAAGCTATGACATTGGAAGAAATTCAAGCAGCTACTGACTCAGACAGAACATTGGAAGGACTAAGAGCTGCTATCAAACTAAACAAATGGGACTATGAAGTATTCAAACCATTTAAAAACGTAAAAGACGAACTCACAGTAACATCAACTGGTATCGTTTGACAAGGATTGAGAATTGTGATTCCGAAATCACTGCAGCAACAAGCAATCGAAACACATCCGGGTATTACAAAGATGAAAGCCTTAATTAGAGAAAAGATCTGGTTTCCAGATATCAACAATCTGGTAAAAACAACCATTGACCAGTGCATACCCTGTCAAGCCATAAGTAAGTAAACATCACCCGAACCTCTAGCGATGACCAACATGCCCAAAGGACCATTGGAACTTGTGCATCTTGATTTTTACGGTCCTTTACCCTCAAGCGAGTACATACTAGTCGTACTTGATGGCTATTCACGATTTCCCGAAGTAGAGATTGTTAAATCCACTAAAGCAACCACAGTCATACCAAAATTAGATAAGATTTTTGCAACACATGGTATACCACCCACAGTTAAATCCGACAATGGTCCGCCCTTCAACAGAGAAGAGTACAGTCGGTATTTAAAAGCATTTGGAATAAAACCGGTATTTTCAACTCCGCTATATCCGCAAGGAAACGCGGAAGTAGAACAATTTATGCAACCACTAGGGAAAACGCTAAAAGCAGCGAAAATTGAAGGTCATCCCTGGCATCAAGTACTGAACAGATTCTTATTGCAATATCACAACCCCACATTCCACCACTGGAGTACCACCAGCAGAACTGTTAACAGAACTGTCAAAGGAAAATTACCTGTGTTACAAAAGTGGAATATGATCAACCTCCACAGACAAGCTCGTCAGAACGAAGAATCGAAAAAGGAGTACAGCAAGAAATACGCAGACAACAAGCGAAACGTGAAAAAGAACGACATCAAAGTCGGTGATTGTGTCCTGGTTAAACAACAAAAACAAAACAAACTTACATCAAAATACAACGAAGTACCATATACTGTAACAATCGTGTGTTTCAGCACACAACAAATACAGACATATTATTACGAGAAACGTCTCTCACTTTAAACCATCACAAACGAACAATAAAGTAGATACAGATGATGATTCGACAACAACGACAATGGACAGAACAAGGTTAACCACACTGATTGTGGTAATAATGAACCAGAGTATTCGCAAGTCGTCCAGAAACACCAAGCGACCAGAGCGATATGGACAACCACTACTGTGGCAGACAGTTAAAAAAAAGGAAGTGATGTAATATAGTTAATACGTCACTATAGTTATAGTATAGGTGTTATGTTTAGACAGGATATTACTCGGTAGTATAACTATATAGTTAACTCATATAACCAAAGAACATCAATATATATTCAGTTAAGTTAGTGTTTGGACCGTATACAAATAGACCTGTAGTATTATCATATAGAAATAAACAAATAAACAAACGTAGAAATATTATACAGGCTACTAGCATGAGGTAGCCCATGATTTCGACAGGTAGCCTGTCATTTTTGTTGGGATTTATATTAGTAGCCCGTAACCTGTTAAATGTTAGGAAAACTAATTTCACTCGACACTTAGAAAAAAAATCGATGCCGAGCTACTAGCATGAGGTAGCCTGTGATTTTGACAGGTAGCCCGTTGGTAGCCTGTCGTTTTTGTTGGGATTTATATTAGTAGCCCGTAACCCGTTAAATGTTAGGATAACTAATTTCACTCA